CAAGACCAGGAGACCGGAGTTGCCATAGCAACTAGTCATAGCTTTGAAGCATGCCCATGACACAAGGTTAATAGTGAACATGGACAGACAGAATCAACGTCAACCCATCCACATTAGCACAGCTTTGTCGTCCTTGACAGTGACATTTTAGTCATTAAGCATTAGTCATTAAATTAAGCCAGGTAGGCCTTTGGCAAGAAATACCTTGACTGCTTAACAGTTGTGGTACTTGCCCAGATGACATGTACATACACCTCAGATGTGCATGCTTCAGATGTGTAATAAGGATAAAGCTAAGATTAGCATTTTAGCTGTATAAATACTTGCTCATTACAGTATGCCTAACTTTCTAGAAAACAAATTTGAGTTACCTCTAGAAAGGAGGTAAGTCTTTTCCAGTGTCTGTACAATTTACTTTTACCATAAACATGACAGTCACTAAGTGGCATCTTATGATTGGGTTGTAAAATAAAAATGCAGTGAGCAGAAAACAAGGGCTGTGGAGCCAAGTATGGCCTCAGTGCTGAATACACTACAGATCTTCCTCAACTTATGATGGGGTTACATCTTGATAAACCAGTCATACATTGAAAATCCAAGTCAAAACCACATTTAATTAATACACCTAACCTACCAACATCACAGTTTAATCTAGCCTACCTTAAACGTGTTCAGAACACTTACATTAGCCTACAGTTGGGCAAAATCACCTAACATAAAGTACTGAATCTCTCATGTAACTCACTGAATACAGAAAGCGAAAAACAAAATGGGTGTATGAGTTCAGAATGCTTTTTAAGTGTATTTGTCGTTTATTCTCGTGATCACATAGCTGACTGGGAGTGGCCACTGCTTGGCTTGCTGCCCCTGCACCAAGAGTATACTGCCGGGGCTTCCCTGGTGGCGCAGTGGCTGAGTCCGCCTGCCGATGCAGGGGACGCGGGTTCGTGCCCTGGTGGGGGAGGATCCCACATGCCGCGGAGCGGCTGGGCCCTTGAGACTCGGCCGCTGGGCCTGCGCGCCCGTACCAAAAAAAAAAAAAAAAAAAAAAAAAGTATACTGCCAAACATCACTAGCCGAGGAGATCAAAATTCATAGTTTAAGCCTATTGCTTTTTCACCACCGTAGTCAAAAAAAATCACCTCGAATCATCATTAAGTCCAAGAGTGTTCGTACTTGTTTGGTAGGATGAGGAATTATTTATGAGGAGCTTTTCTGCCCTCTGTTTAACAGGGATACTCACCTCCCAAGTGATTAAGCATTACATAAGAAAAAGGATAGTGTTTGGCAGAGCTGTACTCAAAAACAAAACTTCCTTTCCGGGAGGATATAGCTGGCCAGAGTGAGTAGGCATGGTGGGGCAGAGATGGGGCAAAAAAAAGTGTTTTTAAACTTCCTGACTACTCCACCGGTTTTCACCCGAGCTTCCAGCACCTGAAAAGGCAGTTACTTTCTTAGCCCTCTCCAAACTATCAGTGTTCACCTACTCTATTTACAAAGTGGGCAACTTCTACTTCCAACCTCACTTCTGGAAGCCACTTTCATTTCAGACGGACTGCTATACATTGCCAACTGAAAACCAACCAGGATTGCCAGTTCAGTGAATTTCCTGTCCCCATTAAACCCCAGACAGCTGGGACACATGAGCCAGCCTTTTCATTAGGGCAGTAACACTCCCAACTTCTTGGCCTTCCTGCCAGTACTAAAGCTGGACAAATTATCCCACACTGCTTGTATGGCAATAGGGCTGAAGGAAAGTCAAAAAATCATTAAACTGGAATTGGTGTAAATTCATGGTTTTAGAATCCTTTCATTTTTACCTCCAAGCAGTTATGTACTCCTACCCTCTTCTACTTTATGATTAAGGTACTCTGAACACTCACTTCTTCACTTCATTCTTCACATAGCCTTTAACTGCGAGCTCTGCCTTTAGTACACAGCCCTTACCATCTGACTCAATTCACTCGTTTTCCACTTCTAGGTAAGGGGCTTTACAAAGCACTCTCAAGATTATTTGCCACCTCAAGATCCAAGAGCCTTTCTCTTAGGGTATTTAAAAGCCCTACAACCAACACCTCTTAACTTATCCTAATCTAAAACGGGGTGAACTTACACTTAGTTCAAGGTCTCAACATCCTAATATTGAACACAGGTCAAATATTACCGGTTTTGAGATACTGAGCTGGTATTATGCCCTATCACTGTACCCCATTCCCCATTAAATGCCTGTGTCATAGACTACCATGTGGGGAAGGTGTGACACGAAAAGGATTAAATGACAAATCAACATTCCAATTTGTATTTATTTGCAAAGCACTCTTATTGAAGCTTAACATGGATTTTATCTAAACTAAAAATAAATTCTCATTATAAAAAATTCTGGTGGCAGAGAGCCAGCTGGATTGGGTTAAAAGTACTAGCTGCCTAAGTTTAAAAGGATTTAGAAATTGTTTCCTGCGGGAGTTATTCTCTCAAAAATAACTTTCAGCTCTCAAAACTTGATATACTGATGATGATATACTGAGCATTTCCATTCCTCTTTCCAAATGTTCAATACAAACAGCCACCTCCACCCCCCTCCAAGGCAGCATTCATTAAGCAGTTTTTCAGCAACTTTCCCTCTTGGCTCTGATTTGAGGTTTTGGGACTTAAAAAATGACCTCTAGGGCTTCCCTGGTGGCGCAGTGGTTGAGAGTCCACCTGCCGATGCAGGGGACGTGGGTTCGTGCCCCAATATGGGAAGATCCCACATGCCGCGGAGCGGCTGGGCCCGTGAGCCATGGCCGCTGAGCCTGCATGTCTGGAGCCTGTGCTCTGCAACAGGAGAGGCCACAACAGTGAGAGGCCTGCGTACCACACACACACAAAAAAAAGACCTCTAAAGAATGCTCAGTTGCCCCCAAATGAAATCTGAGTTATGTACTGAAGCAAAAATGCCAATTCACAAGTGAATAGGACTTCAAAAAGAGAGGGGAAAAGTCACCTACAGACTACTTTTCTGGAAGGTGTAATTTTGCTCTGGAAATAAAGGAAATATTCTCCATCTCAGGACCTCTCCAAATGAGACTATCAAGGAAGCTAAGTATCAATGTTTCCAGAGATTTTCACTTCAAGACCAAGTACACACATGTACTAACAGCTAAGGCACTAAGTGGCCAGATTCTAAGACTTTAGTAAAATAATCATATAATACAATGTTTTATGTATGTCAGAGAAGAACCAAGGAAAAACTAAGGATGAGAAGTAATGTTCTACACATGTATTTCATGTATTAGTCTGGGAAACATTTTGGCTGTTGTCACATCTTCCATCCAGGTAGTCAGTGGAAGAACTGGGATACAAAATGATGAGAATACCATATTATGAATTTCTGCAATTCCAATAAGCAAAAATTTGTACAACAAAATTAAGCAGTTATACCAGGTTTATCAAGACAAATTTTCAATATCTCTTTCAAATTTTCTATCTTCTCTAAAGTGTGCTGTATACAGCTGAATTTGTTTGAAGTATCCAACGAATTTAATAAAGTAGGATGAAGAGAACTTGTGTGGACATATAAAATTGAATTCAACACTATCAGAATGTTTTGATAAAAATATACTCCAACCCAGTTTTTCTTCAGCTACTTTAATTATAAAAATCTTCCATGTTCTCAAAAAAAAAAAAAAGGAAAACCAGAAGGTAACAGTCTAGTACAAAAATATACAACTGGAAGACATTACCACCAACCAGGTCTGACAACTAAATCATGTTGGGGATTCTGAAAATAAAAGCACACTAATACAAAGTACTAAACCAGTGGTTCCTATATAACCAGGGATGGAAAAATGAGTCAGTAGGCCTGGAAAAGTCCATTCCTGATAAAGAAGCACTGTAAGAATATAAACTATAACTCTACAATAAAAGGAACCAGGACTTTCCATCCAGACATGGGTGAGTCTTAAAAGGTGGTGATGCCATCTACTGATCACATGATCTTTTAAGGAACTGTAAAAAGCCATAGAAACAGTAGATAAAAGGTATCTACATCTCATAAAAATAAAACTTCTCTGGCTAATTTATCTTTGTCTTTACCTTTCTGCTTAAGACATGGAGGTCAGAAGTAACCCACAATGAACTGAGAACCACAGAATATTAACTATTCTTGAAAGCATAAAAACCAACTATAACTTAGATATGTTCCTTAAATTATCACCAAGTATTAATAGTGACCTCTAGTGAACACCTGTAATCATTACACCACAAGTCATACTTTCTGTGACTACTTTCAGTATCATATTCAACCGAGAATGCAAGACAAAACTGGCCAACGGGACTTGTTAATTTCAGAAATTACAGTAGAGAACGTTTTAATAGCCAGAATGTAAGGTTTTAAAGATTTCTATCTTCCATATTTTTAAACAAGCCATAAAACTGTGCTAGGGTTTCTGGTTAAAGTGATTGCAAATTTGGACCCTAAGGATAAATCCCAGAGGTTAATTTTATATCAGGTCTGTATTAGCCACTTTATAGCTATAATCCACTATCCTTTTTACAGAAACCCTTCCAATTTAAGACTCTGCAAGTTGTATACTGCCAAAAATGCCCATGTAGATTTATAAGAGCAGTGTAATATTGATGTACCATATTACTTCCATGAATTCTTAGCTATCTTGCCTTGCTTGACCCCAACAAAAGTTTTAAGCTATGAAATGCCAGAAGACAAAAGGCCCAAAGCCCGAGCTCCCAGTAAATCAATAGGCAGTCTTAAAAGTATCTCTGTTAACGAGGCTCATACTTAACTCCACTGACACCAATTCTCCCCCTCTGACACCCAGGACTCTCCCTCCCTTGATATGTGCATGAAGGGTGAAGAAGGACCACTGGAAATAATTTGTTTAGGATCTGCATCTTATAAAACATCCTTATAGATTAATATAGTGACTTATCTTTCATATTGTCAGTACAGCATAATCCAAAACTATCTTTAAACAGCACATTTAAGGAAACTAAGCCAAAAGACTGTTGCATTATGATTTAATCTAATTGCACAAAAATTTGAAATTACAACTCCTCTAGATTTCTAAGAGGAAGGTTATGCATGCCTCCATATTCAATTCTGCACTGTTACATTTGAACCATATAGTGAATTTCACATCATGATGGATCAATTTAGAATCCCCATGCAACACCTCAAATTATATAAAATGGAAGCAATTTTTAAAAGCTTTGTGGAACGTATTCATGCTAATTTTTTTTTTTTTAACCAGCAACTTTGGATTATAATGTATCAGGTGGCTATATTTTAAAATGTTGGTCACTGAATATCAAGGACTTTGAACTGGCTTCTACTCCTAAAAATGTATCATCGCTTAGGTGGACAACCAAAAATTTCCTTCATTTCAAAAGCCTCAAATTGTGTTTCTTACAGAATAAGATTTGTGTAACCAACTGCCTTCTATGAGACAAGACCTATGGTAATAGTGGGTTCAACTATTACACAATTATGTTAATATTTTATTTTCAAAAGCACTTTACAAGAAAATGTGAGTATGGCTTCCAATAGGAATGTTATACCTGGACTTGATTGGTACCAAGCTCAGATTTTAGTTTTGCAAGGAAAAACAGGCTTTCAGGTTAAACAACAATTTGTAACCAAAACTTTAATCCCAAGGATTCTCACAAAACATATTACAAATGACAGCATGAAAAAAAAAAATCTTGCACAGTAACTCAAAGTTCAGCTCTACAATGTACCCTTAAACTGGCAGGACACAGGTATCTTGAATAGTCTCAAATTTCCAAATAATATTACAAAGAGCTATGTATCCATATACACCAATCACAGAAGGTAAACTAACTTTCTTGAAACTTCTTAGATTCTAAACCCACTGGACAACCTCTTGTCCGGTGTGAAGACTAGTGGAATTTTTAAACCTCTAATCTAGTTTAAGGGTGCAGCTTTAATTTTTACCTGCTGGCTTGTGTTCACAGCAGCTTTTAAAGACCGCTTAACTACAGCTGCATACCATACCCAGCTACAGAGTCTTTTCAATTTTTGCCAGTTTTGTTTCCGTAATATTAAACATCACACTTCAGCTGGGCAGGAGTTAGAGGTTTATTATCAGTCTGTGCAAGACTAAAAATTCAAAGCAAATTCAATTTTGCTTAAGGGAACATTGTAAAGTAACAATTCTTGATATTACATGCCTCATATGATCCATTTCAAACCATAGAGAATTACATCTTTATGTGTCACTGTTCCAAGAGACAAACAAATGTGAACAGCTAAAACATTTTAAAAATGCACCAAGCTTATGAAGTCTCAAACAAAACTTGAATTTTCTGTACATACTCCTGTCAAATGAAGTTATTTCCTGTACACCACTCCTCTTGCAAACTGGTCTTCTATTTCCTTTCATTTGACCTAGATCGGCTGATAAACAGAAAAACAGAAGTTACACCTGTAACTCCGTTACACTCTGACAAAACATCAAAAGATTTTTATGGGAAAAAGTTGTAAAATTTTTATCCAAGTGGCTTAAAAGAAGACCTATTTCTACTTTTAATACGTTATGTATGCAAGGTCTTAAATGGCTCAGGTCATTAAAGATCTTACCTACGAGACCTAGAGAAAGATCGGGACGGCTTGTGATTTCTCTCCCGGGACAGTGATCTCTCTCTTCTCCTATCTCTAGAAAGGGACCTGAAGTCAGAGGGAAAAGAAAAACAGTGCCATTCAGGATTATACACAACAAATACTTATGAGAAGTTTTTGAAAGCTAAAAGCTATGCCAGTTGATTCATTACTGAAGTCAAGGTCTATCACCATTAACCAAGTCATTTGGGAAACAGCTTAGGAATAGCACAGACACTCCCACTTCTGAGAATGTGGCCCCCAAAAAAGGTTATTCACCTGCTCCGGCTGCGGGAGAAGCTTCTCCGTCTTGGAGATCTAAAAGCAGAAACAGGAAAATTAGGCCAATTGTCAATTAGCATTTATGGCGTGAGGCATTTCCCAACTTTTCAATCTCACTGTTGGGCCCAGTGAATGTGCCGAAGAACTGGCACCCATCGTCCAAAAAATAAAAAAAAATTTTTTTTTTTAAAAAGAAAAGAAAAAAAAGGCACAGAAGGATTAAGGAACCAAAAGCTCAAGTGAAAAGCAGGTATTCCAACCATGGATTCACTTTAACAAAGAATACTTCACAGCAGATCTGTCCAATGCAAAACTTCATGTCAAACTAACTTCACTACCCAAACACCACACCAAAATGTAGTCCCACAAGTAGTTCCAAAAACAGTACCATAAACCAGTATTTGGAACCCATGCAAACCTGCAAGTCCATGACAAGACTTAGGTACCAGGTGGATAGTGTAATTTTGTGAAAACGCGCTAGGTGTAAATACTGATGCCATTAAGTGCTACATTAGAACTGCATTTGTGATCATCACATTTAAGAGTGTGTTTAGGCTTATCAAAATTACCTTAGCTTGGCCCACTTCACCCCCATAATTTAAAAATTTTGAAAACTGTTAGTAAAACCATTTAAAGGTGATAGGATTCAACAAATTTTTGCTAGAAAGGAAAGCTAAATCTGTTAGAGTTATTAAAATTTTTAGTTTGGCATCTCACACATGCAAATAAGTTTCACTTGAAGGTCTAGTTACATTATGAGTTCCCTATCACCCTTAAAAGTTTTATTCAAGCAATATATATATGTACGTTACCATTCAATTATGCACAGCCAGCCTTTGATCCAGAAAAAAAGAATTACTTTAAGCCGCTTACTCCTTATTTTAACCAGCAGTAAACTGTATAAGCAGGAAAAACTTACTAGTTTTTGGGTTTCAACAAGCTAGAAATGGTGAGGTGAGGCTGCCGGACTGACGGCCAGGAAGAATTTGCTGAAAAGGTTTTGCCAGATGTTGCGTTGGATTTAGTTGGTTGGCGAAGGGGGTGTTGTGGATTTTTCCTGCTTTTTTGTTAGCCGAAGGCTGCTGCTGTAGTTGTTGTGAAGACATTTGGTAAATAAACAGCTGAGCTGATTGGCCAGGAATGTGTGGGCGGTCGAGGTGGCTGCTGCCGATTTGGTTAAGGTTGGAGAGAAGGCTGAGAGAAAACAGCATGCTCGGGAACCAAAGGGCGGTGCAACCTGACGACTGGCCATGCCTGGGTCATGTGAAACGACACCAGCCAAGCTGAATGGGGCGCGCTGGTCACATGACGCTGAAAGGGCTAGTTGACTGGCTAATGCAGACTCAGAGGGTGGTGAGAAGAGACATGATGGTGACTCTGTAACGGGGTTCATTTTTATTAATAGATGGACCAAAAAGCACAAAAAAAAAATGAAAAACAAGCCATCAGTACAACCATCTATTAGCTAACAAATACTCTTTATTATGATGGGCAACAGTGTGTTTTGTTTTTCAAAACAGCAAAAGGGGCAAGATTTTGAACTCCTATCTCCTAGGACTTCACTCACCTGTAAGAGGTAAATTCAGTCCTACAGAAACTATTTGGAGGTTTGAGGAGATGTGGAGTTAGCATCCAGACAATACTGCCTGGTCCAAGAATGATGCCATTTTCAATTATAAAAAAAACTGCATTCTCTCCTATTTGGGTTTGAAGAACAGATGACTGGGATTACTTTAGCCCCCTTTATCGGTCAGTGACTTAAGTTAGTTTCAGAATGATTTCTACTTTACCAGTTGTAACATTAAAACAGCTGCCTGCTTGATAAATATTACAATCGTGCTAATAGAAAACACATTTTTGTGAAGAGCTAGAGTTGAATGTAATGTTTGTCATTATGGAGTCAAGAAATGGAAAAAGGCCTAAATTGAAGTATAAGGGAAGACTTGGAAAGATGCAACTAGAAGATGAACTAGAAGATAGATCCAAGATAGAAGTTACTGACTACCAACATGAACAATGACCTAAAGACAAGCCAACACTCAGCACAACTCACATATCCCAAACTACACCCAGCAAATGTTTCATAAAAACCTGATTCCTCAAAACTTAAAACCCACCAACAAACTTTAAGAGAAATACCTGCTCCTATTAGCTACTCCATTACACCAATACCTCTAAACACGCTCTCTCTAAGTACCTGCGGCGAGGTGGAGGACTCCTCCTCCGATAATCATCTCGAGGGCGACGACCCCAAGAAGGAGGTGGGCCACGATTTCGACTTCTCTTTTCACCATTCGACAGTTCCACTCTTACTCGGCAGCCACATAGTGTTCTAGGAGGAGAAGAAACGTTAAATTTAAAGCAGCCCAACTGACTTTCTAGGAGATTAAAGCAAGTGAAAAAAAAACCCACTCCTATAACTAGCTTCTTTACAAAAAATACATCTTAATGTCTGCAGAATCCTTAATACCAAAGCAAGTTTTAGTTCCCTTATTTTCTCTAGTAAAGGAAACCAACTTCCTTACATTTTATTGCCGTTAGTCTGATCACTGAACTCAATGTTAACAGGTGCAATCTAAGTGTGAAAACGCCTGGATTCATCCTCCCAGAACTAGTTCATCTGTACATCCTGTTTTGACTTCTTCCTTTGAGGCTGCAACAACTGTTTACCAATCTTACTCTGTGTATCCGTTGGTCTCCTCTCCTCCCCAAACCCCCCCCCCCCGCCAGGTAAGTAGCAGTAAGCATTCTGGCCATTTTACGTCTCCCTCTCCCCTCAATCATCACACACAATACTTGACACGTAAGAAACTGCTACTGAGAACAGGAGGAAAAAAAAAGGGCAGTTATTTTCCACCTCTTCACTGGTCCACAACCATTATGTTTAGATAATTCACCATATGTGGACAGTGACTGACAAGAGGTGGGGCCCTGGAAAAATGTTTCTGTAACCTGCTTAGATAAATGACCTTTTATACAGCTTTACAGCCAACTCTGAGACCCTTTAATTTTTGGATCTTAAGGATTATTTTCCTTGTTTTCATGAAATCCAATGGTTTTCAAATGCCAGGAAGGAGAAGAGCAACACCTGTTCACTGTTAAGACTCAGGTGTTGCTTATCAGCCAGCTAACAGACCATTGTAAATGCAAAGGGAAATAGCTGTATGTGCCACAGTTCCTAAACAAAATTATTTCCAACATGTAAAAGATAATAGTACAATAAACCCACGTAACCATCATCCACCTACAATCAGTTTGTGGCCATAAGAGAAATGTCTGATTCCACAATTATTTTAGAAACAATTCAAAGGTGACAGCACAGTTGATGCTTTGTGGTGCATTTAGATTAAAATGTTTCAACCATATGCGCTATCCACCCACCAAGAACTGACCGTTAAAATTATTTTCTTCAATGGCCAACTGAATAAAAAGAAACTTTTCCTAGGTATCTACACTAAAACTGTTCACTCCTTTGTCAGAAAAGGTTTATGTAAATCTCCAGTAACATCAATTTCAGATCGCCAAGAAGCCATCTACAAGTCACGTATCCTAGAGATTTTAAATATTAAAACACAATCAACATTATTTCTCAATAGTATAAATTAATCAATAAAATTACCTCCCATCTAGCTCTCGGACAGCATCGGCTGCATCTCGAGGATCTTCAAATTCAACAAAAGCGAAGCCAGGAGGGTTTCTAGCAACCCACACACTTCGGAGTGGTCCATAATAGCCAAAAGCTCGTTCCAATTCAGTCTTGTTACCATTGTTTCCAAGATTACCTACATAAACTTTACAGTCCAACGGACAGGAATCACGATGCATTTCTGTAAAAAAACAAAAAAACCCCCAAAATATCATAATCCACACAGTGAAAAACAGATCCTTAAGAAAGAATTCAAAAATACTAAAACCCCCCAAAACTAAAAACACTACCCTTTAAACAGTTACCGATAACTGCATGGAAGCCAGCACAGATTGCCTAAGGAAAAAAAAAAAAGCCTCCTTGAAAAGTGAGGGGAAACAACACACTGGAGGAGCATTTACCACAAAGTGGAAACTGAGTTAAAGACTTTACCTATTTCAAATTAATCTTAAAAAACTAAACAAAAAACACCTAGAAAAGTAGGACAGCCTACTCAAAAGCAAATACAACTCGCTGAAGACAAACCACTAGGAAAGTGATACTAATGTGCCTTCACAGGCCAAGTTAACCAGCTTCATTCCTCAAGCAGCAAGACAAACTTGTTATTAAAAGATGTACCTCATTCTATTCTCAACACCCAAAAAGTGTTAACCCAAATGTCCAGCAACAGGTAAGTGGATAAGCAAAATATATTATCCATACGATGGAGTATTATTCAGGAATGAAGTACCCATAAATGCTACAAACGTGGATGAAACTTGAAAGCATGCTAAGTTACAGATACCAGACACACAAGTGCACATATTACGATTCCGTGCATGTGTAATATCCAAAATGAGTAAATCCAGAAACAGATCAGTAGCTACCAGGGGCTGGTGGAGGAAAAGGGGACAAGGCAAAAGGGAAGTGGCTACTTATGTGTACGGGTCACCTTAGGGGGTATAAAACGCGTTAGAACTAGAGAGGTGATAGCTGCATAACACTGTGAACTTGTGCACTTTAAAATGAATCTTACGTTAATTTCACCTCAGGGGGAAAAAGTTATACAAGAATTTACGGCACTTAGGGGGCTTTGATAAATCTTAAGTACTTAAGAAGTCATCTCTGCAATGAATCTAATCAACTTATAGGCCAGTAACAACTGCATAAAAGAGCAGCCTGTCCAAGAACTCAGCTCAAGAGCCACTTTCTTCTCTCTCCGGGCTTATCCAATTAAACAAGCCAGTCCAGACACATCCTATTTGTGTGACCCCACCCTGCACCCAGGAGAGTTATGAGACCAAACCATTGCCGGGGAATGGGTTCTTTTCCTTTTTCCAAAAACTTTACCGTGACCAGCTACAGGCCTACGTATTAATGGAAAGAGCTACAAGAACAAAACAGCTCAAGGAAGAGCGGTTTAAAAAATAAAAGTGATTGGGTTCAGACTATAACAAGTTAAAAGAACATAAAAATGAAGATGAGTACAGAAATCATTTACTAGGGATGGATCGAAAGGCCCAATCTTGATTACTGACTTGAGGAAAAAAATCATGAGCAGCTACCTAAGAAAACGCGGGGCCTAAAAAAAAAAAAAAAGGCGCCATAAATTGAAAAGCCGCGGCCCGGAGTACGACGGACTACCGAGTCCTCCTTCGCATCAACTCTCGGGCAATCTCACTTTCCGGTTCACGCCCCCAGTGAAGAGTTAAAAACACCTCCACTTTGAGACCTGGATATATCCTCCGAGGGGCCGGGGGCCCCCGCCACCGCCCCGTGCTGAACGTCACAAAATGGCGGCAGCGTCTCTTTGTCTCAATCTGGCGCCGCCATTGGGCCTGGCCCCACTTCGGTCCCGTTAAGGCCCATTTCCAACCTCATTCCTTTAGTCGCTGGTCACTTACCGAGACCTCGGGTTAGAAACGCGTAGGCTCAAATCCACACACCCTCGGCTGGGTCTTCCTGGTCCCCTCGCGCCTGGAACCAACAGATGCTCTCCCACACCCGTCGTCCACGAAATGGCGGACCACCGCCGTCTCCTCGCCCTTATTTATAGGCCATGCTGGAGTCACATGACTGGACGGGCTCGCCCAATGGGGGGCGGAGGAGGCTGTGACGTAATGGCTACAAACTCAGCGAGAACAGCGGTTGCTGGGAGCGCGCTCTGGTTGTACCGCCTTGTCTGTGGAGGGTAGCAGCGTCGGGCTCAGGTTGTCTCAGGCTCGGAGCTCCCTCGGGTGTAATTCCCCAGCTGCTGACCTCTGAGTTATTCTCAGTCCCCTGTCCCTCACATCCAAATAGGCTGGAGTTTAATAACACCTCCGCCGTCACTCCCAAACACTGATAGAGCGTTTTGCTCCTAATAAGTTTAAAGTATTAGATGAATTCACTGATTACTTCATCCTCGTGAGCGGTGAGGCTGGAACTAAGACCGTCACGTTTACAAACGTGCTTCGGAATTGCTCCCAAGGTCAAGGAGCTGTTTGTGAGCGAGCTGTCACCAGATTGTGCCCACCGGGGTCCCACACTTAGGGAAAAGCCCAAACCTGGAAAGTCCGCCGAACTCTGGCTGGTTTCCCACCCCTCAGCCAAACTGCAGGATTTGGCATCATCCTGGACTCTTGAAATGTTTAATAGAAACGCAAACGCAAATGAGACCGACCGGTCAGGCCATGCGGAAACTGTCACCTTTAGCAAGTAGAAGTACAAGGAAGTTCCTGAAGAAGATTGAATTTAAATTCAGCACCCCACCCCCGCACCGGGGGCAGGGGTGGGGTCCATGGGTCACTCACACCTTCCTCTGTTTCCCACTTCACCTAAAAAAAACCGAGCCACAAGATTAACTATTGGGAGAGAAATACCGCGATGGTGTCAGAAAAATCACCAAAATCTCCTTCGCCGGAACAGTGAGTTCAGTTTTGCTGGTGTTCCCTACCCTCTTTCTGTGAAGTCTGACTTATTGCTAAAACTTACTTAAATCTGCTCTCAAGAGAAGGGATAACTTGTATTTTTCCACCATTAGCTGAAAGATATACCAATTATTTACTTGTTTTGTTTCTCCCAGATATTCTCTTATTGTGCCTGTAAAAGATTTATCCATAGTGGGGGAAAAAAAAAAAGATTTAATGCCTCTGAGCCTTAGTTTTCACACCTGTAAAATGGGGATTTCATACTCCCAAGGAAAGAGGGGGAATGGGAACTGCAGTTGTTGAGCCAGGCCCTGAGCTGGCCTTACCCTGGGGTGTTTCCCAGGTGAGGGATTCTAGCAAAACCTTTCTGTTTCTCGTCTTACTTTTCTTTCCTTCTGTAATTGTTTTTCTCTTCTGGCTCACTTATATTTGCTCCCCTCCTGCTCTGTAAGTTTTTCTCCCCTTTTTATTTCCTTCTATCAAAGCGAAGCCTTTTTGAAGTCAGACAGTCCCAGATTTGGACCACAGTACCGCTGCTACTTACTGCTAAAGTGTCTGGAGAAGAGTCCCTTACCCTCTCTCAAGATTACTTTCTTCTCTGTAAAATGGGATAATTACATCAATGCAGGGTTGTTATGTGCTGTCTACCCTCACAGGAACTTCAACTTTGGTCTATTGCGGTCACACGTGCATCCCCAGGGCCTGGAAACAAGCCTGACACACAGCAGGTGATCAAAACTTATTTGTTTAATTATTTAATTAATTAAAAGAAATTATGTATGTAAATAAGCTGGCACAATGTTTGCTCAAAAAAATTCTGTGTTCTTTTCACATCTCATTCTTTAGTATCCCAAAGTACCCCATTCTTTCCCACCATTTTTCCTGTTTTTGTTGTTGTTGTTTGTGCATATAATGCTAGTCTAGCATGCATCTTTCAATGGAGCACTCTTTTTTTTTAACTTATTATATTTTATTTTTGGCTGTGTTGCATCTTTGTTGCTGTACACGGGCTTTCTCTAGTTGCAGCGAGCAGGGGCTACTCTTTGTTGCTGTGCGCGGGCTTCACATTGTGGTGGCTTCTCTTGTTGCAGAGCACGGGCTCTAGGCGCATGGGCTTCAGTAGTTGCAGCGTGTGGGCTCAGTAGTTCTGGCACACGGGCTCAGTAATTGTGGCTCTTGGGCTCTAGGGAGCAGGCTCAGTAGTCGTGGTGCACGGGCTTAGTTGCTCCGCGGCATGTGGGATCTTCCCAGACCAGGGATCGAACCCTGCATTGGCAGGCGGTTTCTTAACCACTGTGCCACCAGGGCAGTCCTCAATGGAGCACTCTTAATCCCTCCAACTGCATTCTCAAATACGTTTTGAACCTCCTCTGGCCATCCACACACACTTTCTATCTTCTAGTAACTGCAGCCAAGTGAATTATCCATTTAAATTATGGAATATTTTAATGTTCCTTTAAATTTATTCGACCATCAACCACTCTTGTCTAGACCCTAGAACCATAGGAAGCTTCAACGGGACATAGCAGAATTTCTTAGACAAAGAATGGGGATCATATGTGGTAGTAAACAAACATCCTTTGATTTTCTCTGAGGAACTACCATTCTCACAGTAGACCACGTTATTGATTTAGGTGTGGTTGGGTCCTACACCCCACTTTTTTAGGGGTAGAGACATGAGCACCCCTAGTTAATTAAATCATCCTGGTTCTTAGTGGCCCGCCCCACCCCCATTAGTTCAGGAATGGATGACTAATCCAATCAGACCTGTCAGCTAACGGGACTTGTAACTTTACAAATTACAGTAATTTTAGAATTTTAAATAGCCACAATCTAAGTGTAGAATGTAAGATTTTTAACAATTTTCATTTTCCATATTTTTTACAAGCCATAAAATTGTGCTAGGGCTTCTGGTTAAAGTGATTGCAAATTTGAACTCTAAGGATAACTTCCTGGGGCTAACTTTTTATCATCAGGTTCTGTATTAGCTGCATTATAGCCATAATCTATTATCTTTTTTACAGAAATCCTTCCAATTTAAGACTGTAAGTTGTACACTGCCAAAAATGCCCATATAAATTTATAAGAGCAGCAGTAATTATTGATGTACAGTATTAATTCCATGAACTATTAGCTATCTTGCCAGCGCTGCTGCTAGGCCAGCCAGAGAGAGGTGTGTTCCTTTCCTCCGACTAGTGGGGTCCTGAACCTGCCAGCCATCCTCCTTCTAGTAGGGAGGAAGCAGCCTGCAGTGGACCCAACCTAAAGAGAGGGAGAGCTGAGAGATGGGGAATAACGAGCTCTAAAACTCTTGTTTAAGAAGCCCTGACCCCAATTCCACTTTTGAGATTCCCAGTTGTTTGAACATACGTGTTCCCTACCTCTTCCTCTGATTTGCCTAAGCCACTTTGAGTTGGTCTTTTTTCCTGTCACTTATGAACAGAAGGATTCCAAATACAGAAATTACTCTGACATCTCACTACCTCAAGTCAAGAACCATGGCTCTAAGTTATTGTCCATTTCTAAAATTCACCTGTTACCAATTTGTTAAGTGCTTTTTCTTTTTTTCTTTTTTTAAAAAATTTATTTATTTTATTTAGTTATTTTTGGCTGCGTTGGGTCTTTGTTGCTGTGTGCGGGCTTTCCTAGTTGTGGTGAGTGGGGGCTACTCTTCATTGTGGTGCGTGGGCTTCTCATTGCAGTGGCTTCTCTTGTTACGGAGTATGGGCTCTAGGCATCCGGGCTTCAGTAGTTGTGGCGCATGGGCTCAGTAGTTGTGGCTCGCGGGCTCTAGAGCGCAGGCTCAGTAGTTGTGGTGCACGGGCTTAGTTGCTCCGCGGCATGTGGGATCTTCCCAGACCAGGGATCGAACCCGTGTCCCCTGCAATGGCAGGTGGATTCTTAACCACTGTGCCACCGGGCAAGCCCCTAAGTGCTTCTTCTTAATTAAAAAAAAATTGAAGTATAGTTGATTTACAGTGTGGTGTTACTTTCAGGTGTACAGTACAGTGATTCGGTTATATATATATATAGGTATGTAGGTATACATATATTCTTTTCCAGATTCTTTTATTTTCCTTGTCTGCGTTGGTCTTAGTTGTGGCTTGCGGGTTTTCTCTCTCTAGTTCTGGCACGCGGGCTCCAGGGCGAGTGGGCTCTATAATTGTGGTGCAGGGGCTCCAGAGAGCGTAGTTTGCTGCACGTGGGCTCTCTAGTTGAGGCACGCGAGCTCAGTAGCTGTCGGGCTTAGTTGCCCTGCAGCATATGGGATCTTATTTCCCTGACCAGGGCTCAAACCCAAGTCCCCTTCATTGGAAGGCGGATACTTAACTACTGGACCACCAGGGAAGTCCCCCCAGATTCTTTTTCTTTATAGTTTATTAAAAAATACTGAGTATAAGGAATTCCCTGGTGGTCCAGTGGTTAGGACTTGGCACTTTCACAGCGATGGCCTGGGTTCAATCCCTGGTCAGGGATCTCCGGCAAGCTGTGTGGCACAGCCAAAAAATAAAATAAAAAATTTAAAAATTCTAGGACTTCCCTGGCAATCCAGTGGTTAAGACTCCTCCCTTCCGGGGCTTCCCTGGTGGCGCAGTGGTTGAGAATCCACCTGCCAATGCAGGGGACATGGGTTCGATCCCTGGTGCAGGAAGATGCCACATACCACGGAGCAACTAAGCCCGTGAGCCACAAATACTAAGCCTGCATGCCGCAGCTACTGAAGCCCATGCACCTAGAGCTCATGCTCTGCAACAAGAGAAGCCACCACAATGAGAAGCCCGCGCACTGCAATGAAGAATAGCCCCCCTCACTGCAACTAGAGAAAGCTCATGCACAGCAACGAAGACCCAACGCAGCCAAAACAATAAATAAATTAAAAAAAAAAAAAACTCCTCCCTTCCACTGCAGGGGTTGTGGGTTCCATCCCTGGTTGGGAAACTAAGATCCCACATGGTGTGCGGTATGGCCAAAAACAAAAAAATCTAGGACTTCCCTGGTGGTGCAGTGGTTAAGAATCTGCCTGCCCATGCAGGAGACACAGGTTCCAGCCCTGGTCAGGGAAGATCCCACATGCCGTGGAGCAACTAAGCCCGTGTGCCACAACTACTGAGCCCACATGCCTCAACTACTGAAGCCCACACGCCTAGAGCCCGTGCTTTGCAACAAGAGAAGCCACCGCAATGAGAAGCCCACGCACCGCAGTTAAGAGTAGCCCCTGCTCGCCACAACTAGAGACAGCCCGCACAGCAAGGAAGACCCAATGCAGCCGAAAATAAATAAATGAATAAATAAATAAATAAAAATTTAAAAAAACCCATAATATTGAGTATAGTTCCCTGTGCTATACAGTAGGTTAAGTGCTTTTTAAATTTTTTAATTTTTGGCCTTGCCGTGCAGCTTGCGGGATCCTAGTTCACGTGATCAGGGATGGAACCCCTGACCTCAGCAGTGAAAGTGCAAAGTCCTAACCACTGGACTGCCAAGGAATTCCCAGATTTTTTTTTTTTTTTTTTGCAATACGTGGGCCTCTCACTGTTGTGGCCTCTCTCGTCGTGGAGCACAGGCTCCAGACGCGCAGGCTTAGCAGCCATGGCTCACGGGCCTAGCCGCTTCGCGGCATGTGGGATCTTCTCGGACCGGGGCACGAACCCGTGTCCCCTGCTTCGGCAGGCGGACTCTCAACCACTGCCCCACCAGGGAAGCCCCGAGATTTGTATTTTTTTCTTTTTTCTTTTTTTTTTTTTTGGACACACTGCACAGCATGTAGCATGTGGGATCTTAGTTCCCCAACCGGGGATCAAACCCGGGCCCCCTGCATTGGAAGCATAATGTCTTAACCACTGGACTGCCAGGGAAGTCCTGAGTGCTTCTTTTTTTTAAGAAAAAAGAATTACTGATGGCCAGGCATTGACATCTATGTATAAGAATTAAAACATTCAGTATTGTGATTGACTTCCAGTATCCATGAAGGAAAATCTAATAAAAGCATAGACCTATAGTTTCTTAACTACTTGGTTCAGTCAGTGTCCTCGTAGGAAGCAGATGACGTACTCAACAAATGGTTAACTGAAGAGGTAATTATTTATAGAATTATGGGCAGGGTTAAGGAAACCCACAGAAGAGGGAGGAACTCCCAGAGGCAGCTCTTAGGCTGAGTGGGTCATGGAAGGGAGCAGGGTTACCAGAACCAGACAAATGCTGTAGCTATGAAGAGAGGCCATAATGGCCTTAGGTAGAGGAACCGTGGCAGCCCAGTTCGGGCAGGGGTTGGGGGTGACCAGAGATGAAATAACTGGACTACTTTCTCTTCCTATAGTCCCATCTTTTGATGGTGCCTTCTATTGCCCAAAGCTATCTGGAAAACTGAGGGCAAGAGAGCTGGGTGATGCAAGCCCAAGTCAGCCTCCCAGGGCACAGAGGAAAGCAAAGACTGGGAATTGATCTAGGGTTGTATTGTCCAATACAACCACCACTAGGCTCATGTGGTTATTTGAGTCCAAATTGAGATGTATTGTAAATGTAAAATACATGCTGGATTTCAAACACTGGGTATTAAAAAAGAATATAATGTTTATATTGATTACATGTTGAAATTATTTTTTATGTACTGGGTTAAATAAACTATATTATTACAGTTAAATTCATCTGTTAGGACTCTGCGCTGTCACTGCCAAGGGCCCGGGTTCAATCCCTGGTTGGGGAAATAAAATCCCACAAGCCAAGCGGT